GGTCATTGGATGGATACCAACAAACTCATTCTAAAGTGTACATGGAGAAGCAAAATGCTCTGAACAGCCAATGCCATACTGGAGGAAGAGGACGAAGTTGGAGTAGTGAGGATACCTCCCTTCAAGACCTACTATAAAACCACAGTCGTCAAGACCGTGCAGCATTGCGAAGGAACAGACACAGAGGTAAATGGAACAAGCCAGAGAGCCCAGAAATAGACACCATGCAGGGAGCGAGCAAATGCTGGCGAGTGTGCGGACCACAGGGACTCACATTCACTGCTGGCGGGAATGAGAAATGGCCCAGCTCCTGTGGAAGACGATCTGGTGGTTTCTTACCAAACTAAACCTGCCCGTACCATATAATCCAGCAACCATGCTCTTTGACATTTCCCGAAATGAGTTGAAAACTAAGTCCGCACAAACACCTGCACATGGATGCTCATAAAAGCTTTCTACGTAACTGCCCAAACTTGGAAGCAACCAGGATGTGAATAAATCAGATAATAGCTGTGGTACCTCCAGACAATGGAATACTATTCAGTGCTAAACAGAAATGTGCTACCGAGCCATGAGAAACAAGGAAGAACAGTCAATGTGTACCACTAAGTGAAAGAAGCCCATCTGGAAAGGCTACATACTGTATGATCCCACCTCTGTGGCATTCTGGGAAAGGCAGGACTGTGGAGACAGTACGCTCTGCATGATATTAAAATAATAGATATATGTTATTATATCTTTGCCTAAACTCATAGAATGAACAGCACCAGGATTAATCCGTAAGGTAAGTTATGGGTTTTGGGTGACTATGATGCATCCTTACAGCTTCATCTTTGCTTAAAAAAATGTCCCATTCTGGTGAGTGATGTTGACACGGGGGAGGCTGACCATGTGCAGGGGTAGGAGGTATGTGTGAAACCTCTGTAACTTCGCTTCAATTCTGCTGAAACCCTAAAACTGCTCTAAGGAATAATGTCTTGAAAATGCATACCTTGCATTAGTATAAGGGGTATCCAGAAAACAATATTTATAGATAAATTAACCTTATCCTCTGTTTTTAATTTATTATGTAGTTGATTATGTCTAATTTGACTAATGGTGTATTATTAGTATACATAAAAGAATAAGATAAACATAAACTATAAATAGATACCCCAAAATTTTTAAAAATCTGCAGTAATAATGACTTATTTTCCCCTAAGAAGATACAATATTTCAAAATCAAAACCAAAGGAATACATTTAAACACAAATCCACAAGTCTGTAAATCTCCTGTTAATAAAGAACACATTGGTGCTATGTATAGTGAATGAGAAATTGGAGAACCCAGATCTGTTTTCTAGATTCTTCTTAAAGTTTTCATACTGCTAAAGCTTTGCATTTGTCTCTCACAATAGAAAATGCAAATAAGTGAGACATGGTAGAATTTGCTCAAGAATTTTTAAAAAATTAATAACCAAAAACATTTCCCTTAGGACAAAGACTAGCAGTATGAACACAGCACTGGAAGAGATGCCGGAGAGCCCTCTGCAATGCGGCCCGTCACCTCCTAAAACAGTTCGGTGTTTCTAAACACGTCTGGCACATGTCACTACCACAGCCCTTCCCTTCTAGTTCCTGACTGTGTTCTTAGATTCGAAGCATGCAATCCAGGAGTTCGGTGAAAGGATATGGACTTCAGTCTTTTCTCTGTGTGTGTGTGTGTGTGTGTGTGTGTGTGTGTGTATTTTTTTTTCGTTTTCTTTAGAGAGAGAGGAAGGGAGAGATAGAAACATCAACGTGAGAGGGAAACATCAATCTGCCGCCTCCCACACCCCCCACAGGGGATCGAGCCTGCAACCCGGCCATTGTGCCCAGGCCAGGAATCGAACTGGACTCCTTAATCTATGGCATGACGATCACTCCACTGAGCCACACCGGCCAGGCACACTTCAGTCTTACTTACTTTACCATCTACATTTTTTAAACATTGGAAATACAGGCGTCCTGCCACTTCGCGCTCCGACGGCCGTGGCTTCTCTGTGGCGGTTTTCTCTAGTATGTTCATTACAAAGTTGACGGAGACGGTGAAAATGATACAGCGCATGCTGGGTTGTCTGAGTCAGTTATACACCCTGTATTACAGTTAAAATTAAAATTACTGCACATATGGACTGTAGGCCTGTAGACTTGAGCACCCAGGGATCCTTCAACGCCAGGGGCAACCGCTCGAGTCTGGAACGAATTCACCTCAATAAAGGAGGGATGACTATAGTCTAAATCACTAGACATAAGGAAATGAATGAATAGAGTATTCCCATGTAATGTAATCTTAGGTACCTATTTAAAAAACACCTTGTTTTCATGAAGTATTTCATGACAGGGAAATTTTATCATGATACCATGTGAAATAGAAAAGCCAGATATAAAACTACATATATAAAACATGATTTCATATAGCACACGCATGTGTGCCCACACACACACACACACTACCCATATATAGATGCAAATATTCAGGCATATCCAAGACACTGGAAAGAATTAAACCAAAATCTTACTAACGATAAAGGTCAATTTTTCTAACATTTAAAAAATTTTATTGTGAGTGAATTATTTCTAAATTAAAAAATAAAGCATTAGCTAAAAAAAGAAACCCCCACAACAATTAGCAAAGCACAATGTACAGTATTGGGGTGTGCTCATGCAGACTTTTATGACATCCCTATGCATGAATCCATGACAAGAGCCCTGTGCTTGAATCCATGACAACAGCCCTGTGCATGAATCCATGACAACAGCCCTTTGCAGGAATCCATGACAACAGCCCTGTGCAGGAATCCATGACAACAGCCCTGTGCATGAATCCATGACAACGTCCCTGTGCATGAATCCGTGACAACAGCCCTGTGCATGAATCCATGACAATGTCCCTGTGCATAAATCCATGACAACAGCCCTGTGCATGAATCCATGACAACGTCCCTGTGCATGAATCATAACAGCCCTGTGCATGAATCCATGACAACATCCCTCTGCAAGAATCCATGACAACAGCCCTGTGCAGGAATCCATGACAACAGCCCTGTGCATGAATCCATGACAACGTCCCTGTGCATGAATCATGACAACAGCCCTGTGCATGAATCCATGACAACATCCCTCTGCAAGAATCCATGACAACAGCCCTGTGCATGAATCCATGACAACAACCCTGTGCAAGAATCCATGACAACATTCTTGTGCATGAATCCATGAACACAAGAAGAACATCACTCTGCTGCCTTATATGAGACCTTATTCAATTAAGTGGTTGGTTGGTTATACACACCTACTTAAATCTAACTGAATATAGTCGCTTCAATTAATAAAATCCTTCAAAAGTAACAATGGAAAATCATTTGGTTGCAGCAGACACTATCATCATTCCAGCAATCGCCTCCCTGCACGTCTGGAGGCGGCCCACCTCGTTCAGGAGGCTGTGAGTCAGCACAAAGGCCGGGCTGAGGTGTCTGAACACGAGGGCGAAGCTCCCTGCAGGATGATAGAGTGTGACCCACGCTACGTACTACAATGCTATCTTTATCAACGTTCGTGGGAGGCTTCCCAGTACTGGCCGGGGGCTGCATTCTGACTTAGAGAAAAATATTTTTAATTTCTCCTTAGAAACACTGAAGAGTGATGGAGTCACCTGGTGCTCTCAGAGAGGCGGGGCCCTCGTTTCTAGCCTGACCAATTCCTTCCCTGAATTACTGGGAGGGTCATCTGTTCTTCCCACGTGGTCAAAGCCCCGGCCATACGACCCATGCCCCTGGCCAAGGGAGGCCGGAATGCGGCAGTTTGGTCAATATTGGGGGTTCCCTGCCTCGGTAAAAACTGAGTATGCCCCAAAAGGAAAAGTCTCATTTTTATTCCTTTTTGGAAGCAAGTTTTCTCAAGATGTTGTTAAGGATTTTAGGCTTCTACGAGCTAACATTTTTATTTAAACTTATTAAAGAATGAAAGTACCACGTAGGAATGTGAGGACCCATGACTCATGAAATCATTCAGTTTACAGAAGCTTTAGAAGGCCGTCGAGTACAGACCCAAGGGCCAAAAAGACAACAGTTAGAGGACTAAGGAATGTAGCTGTCTTTGCCGAAGTCTGGAATGAAAACGATTCTTGGACTTGATCCATTCATTCACTTTGGCATTTCACTGAGCTCTTCCTGCTGTTAGGGCTAAGGCCCCTGTATTGCAAGAGGCTTCTCGCCAACCTCAGAGAATATGGAATAAAGCTAATTTCTTTTGTTCTGTGCATGTAAATCGTGTAGAGTAAGGAATTCGACTCCTAACCATTGACTCTGAAGGTTCAACAGGCCCAGGTTCTTGTCTTCTGTCCTTGCCTCCTGGATTGGAAGGTAAACCCCATCATTCTCTTTATTCTCTACAGACAATCTCTGCATTTTCTCTGTCCTTGCCTGAGCTGAGACTAGAAATACCCAGACCCCAAAGCAGCTGCATGCTTTTCTGTGGGGGTAGGAAAGTCCGTGCCTTGCCAATATAAACACAGATAGATTACGGGGCAACTGGAATGTAGGGAAAGACATTTTAAAGATAAAACATTATGGGCCATGTATTCCAAAGATAAATGGCATTCATAAGTACTCCATTCCTAACATTAGCATCATACTTTATTTTAGAACTTACTGATACCCATACATGTGTTTGTATTTTAATATCAACAAAGGTTTTGAGATATAAGTCATCTCCCAGGATCGTGCCTGCCCATGGAGAAAGCTGAGCATTTGGCACTGCAGAGCCCTTTCACGTGAAAATATGCCCAAATTGGGCAGACAGCGTCCGAGTAAAGCAGAGAGACACGGACAGAGAGATCGCCGAGGGGGCTCGGACCACTGGGAAAGCAGGGTGTGAGCGGGCGGCTCTCAGCGCCTTACCTGATGTCCGTGCAGAGAGATCACCAGGGGAGGCTCGGACCACTGGGAAAGCAGGGTGTGAGCGGGCGGCTCTCAGAGCCTTACCTGATGTCCGTGCATGTTATGCAGGGGACGCCTCGGCTGTTTGTTGTGATCAGGTTCAAGGCTACTGATGTCTCTTCGTCAGAGGTCGGGTGTGCTGAACATTTAAAGAAAAATTCCTGCAAGAAAGAGAAAGACGGTGAAAACCATGGCAGCCGGCCTTCCCCATCTAGACGTTTCCCCAGTAAACAACCTCTTTGCACAAAAGGCCTCCCGTTAGGTCTGAGTTAGAAGTGAATCAGCATCACACCTTTCCAGGGAAGCTACGACGGTGGCGGCAGTCAAGGCCGGCCTCTGGGTGGGGGCCAGGGGTCTGCCCGCCTTTCCTTCCTTTGCTCTTTCAGCCACGGAGCTGGGGACACTCTGTGCCCCTGCGGTAGCCGTGCCCCTCGATGCCAGACAGTGGAAGAACTCCAGTGGAGGCGGAGGGGAGCCTGGACAGGACTTCACAAAGGAGGAGAGGGGACTGAGCCATGAAATCATTGGCCCAAAGTTGAACAATCACAGGGGAAGCCAGGAAGTCAGCCAGGCTTTCTGAAGGAAAACCCAATGCTTTAAAAATAAAAAATAAATGTTAACATCATCTCTGCACCGTTGGTCAGTTGGCTACAAGGGTGCAGGGCAGGGGAAGGAATCCAGGGTCCTAAGATTGGCAGGTGTATGGCGACTCAGAGTAGCAGAGCGTGACCCCCCCCCCCTCACTGAGCTCCCCACCTTCTCCGGCCATCAGCCCCCCAGCATCCCCGAGACCCGCCCCGCCCCCACCCAGCAGCCGGGACCCCGCCGGCCCCCACCCAGCAGCAGGGACCCGCCCCGCCCCCACCCAGCAGCCGGGACCCCGCCGGCCCCCACCCAGCAGCCTGGACCTGCCCCGCCCCCACCCAGCAGCAGGGACCCGCCCCGCCCCCACCCAGCAGCCGGGACCCCGCCGGCCCCCACCCAGCAGCAGGGACCCGCCCCGCCCCCACCCAGCAGCCGGGACCCCGCCGGCCCCCACCCAGCAGCAGGGACCCGCCCCGCCCCCACCCAGCAGCAGGGACCCGCCCCGCCCCCACCCAGCAGCCGGGACCCCGCCGGCCCCCACCCAGCAGCCGGGACGTTGAACCTGCACCTCTCACCTAAGCCCATTTCCCTGCCTTGTTCTGCACACACGGCTTTGTTTTCGCTTTTCACAAAGTCACATTCTCTGGGTTGATGATATCCTCCCTTCTCAACCCAAATCCTGTTTTTCCGTGTCTTCATTTCTCCCTTCCACTTCTATATGTGTTCACACCCCTGTCTCCCCTTCATGCACCCGGGTGTGGGGCTGGGCTCGCCCAGCTTCTTGTCGGTCTCTCCGTCTCCCACGATACCACCACCCACGGACTCATCGTCGGTGATGACGGATCCTCCGCAAACAGCACTGATGCCGGCTGCACGCGCCGCCCACGCGCGCTCCTCAGCCGCAGGGCACAGCCCCGTGGGACACGGAAGGTGTCTGCCCTTTACCCGCTGCACGCGGGGGCAGCCGGCTGCCACTGGGGCTGTAGGATCCCGTGTTCTCAGCCTCGGGGGCCGTGGGCTTTCCCGCACACGTCTCCACGCCACACCGCGGCCTGCACGAAGCCCAGCGACGCACAAATGAACGGGGTGGCCGCCCACCGGGAAAGGGGAACGCGCGGCAGTGGGGCTCCGCCGGCAGGCCCGGCTCTGCCCCGCGCGGGTGCTGAGCAGCTGTGTGTGGGGGGGGAGAGGGTCCCACCTGCGTCCTCAGGGCCGACGCCCCGGCTCTGCCCCGCGCGGGTGCTGAGGGCTGTGGGGGCTCCCACCTGCGTCCTCAGGGCCGACGCCCCGGCTCTGCCCCGCGCGGGTGCTGAGCAGCTGTGGGGGCTCCCACCTGCGTCCTCAGGGCCGACACCCCGGCTCTGCCCCGCGCAGGTGCTGAGGGCTGGGGGGCTCCCACCTGCGTCCTCAGGGCCGACACCCCGGCTCTGCCCCGCGCAGGTGCTGAGGGCTGTGGGGGCTCCCACCTGCGTCCTCAGGGCCGACGCCCCGGCTCTGCCCCGCGCAGGTGCTGAGCGGCTGTGGGGGCTCCCACCTGCGTCCTCAGGGCCGACGCCCCGGCTCTCACACGGGGAAGCCACAGGCTTGCTTAATAAAGGCTGCCGGTGTCCCTGCACACTTGGCAGCACCCCTCCCAATGTGTTCTTTCCCGGCTCCTACTCAGACCTACCTCCTTCTCCCCTGGCCTGAGACACTGTGAGCAGCACCTGTGGTCTGAGGCCAGCGAGCTTCAGAAACACCTGGGGGCAGGTGAGGCCGGGCAGGGGCAAATCAGGACGGGTGTGTGGCCCGGATGTTCTGATCCGGTAGTTCTGACACAGGGCCAGGGACTTGCGTTTCTACAAGTCGCCAGGTGATGCTCTCACAACGCTCCGGGGCTCCCACCTGTGAGAACGGGTGAGTTACACCGACGTCAGTGGTCAAGGGGACAGCTGTACTCGCTCTCAGGAGGCGACAGCTGCAGCTGACCTCGCTGACCACATCTGAAGGACGCCATGTCTCAGGTAGCATGTGCCATTGACAGGCTAGTGTCCCCCAGCCAGGCATCTGGAACCCCGGCTGTTCTTCACTGTAAGTGTCTTACTAACCCCAGATGATTACGCTGCTACTCAGCCAGAACCTATCTGACCTGGGTAAGTGGCAGAGTCGCTGACCCCGGCCGGCCGGCCTCAGCCCTGTGGATGAGGATGGGCCACCGGTGTTGCCTGCGACGGGAGGACCCTCGGGTGTTCGAGGAGTCCTGCCGGTGAGCCCAGGTCCTCTCCTGGAGGGGCAGGCAAATCATACTTGCTGGGACTTTCTATTTTTTAACATGGAATGCTGCCCTTTTCACTCAGTCTTTTTAAAGGCTACACAGCCTTCAAGAGTATTGAGAAAAAGGGTCGAAGCAGTTCCTGACCCCTGAAGGAAGAGGACCTGCCCGGCCCCGACGGAGCTGGCTGCCTCGTGCCGGCGTGAGAAATCCTCCCTCACAGAGCCAAGCGATTCCTCCGAAACAGCTGAGTCGGCGGGGCTCTCGGGAAGGCATTTCGTAGACAGATAAGTAGATAGATAGTATTTATGTATTTTTTCTAAGCTTGCAGAAAGCTACTGGTAGACACCCGGCTAGCAAATCACAAAGTGCTCCCACGCCAGATGGAGTCCAGCCAGAGGAAAGCCACCTCCCTCGGGGGGGTGAAGGAGCATTTACGGATTACGGTATGAGAAGTTACAGGATGTGGAAAACTCCGGTAATCCACACGATGCAATAAAATTAAAATGGAAATTTCTAACCCTGTACATTCGCTACATAACTTTTATCAGTTACCTGCAGTACTCTGCCACAGCTGTTATGAAAGGGGGTTCTCTCTAACACTGGAGTGACTGAGGACTGAGGACTGAGGAGGGTCTGGGGTTCCACCCAGCCTGCAGATGAGCAGGTTGGTCTGCTCCCATCCCATGGATGCTGCCAGAGGACACGAGACTCCTGGGTCAGAGGCAAAGGCAGAAACACGATTCTGCTGAAAAGATTGTCCAGAACAAAAGAGCGGCCAGCTGGTCTCACGCAAGAGGCGGAAACACGAGAGACCCCTGGAAAACTGTCTCCCAAAGGACTAACACCTTTTCCTTTTTTCCTACAGACTACCTAGCACAGCGCTCTGGTCATTTCCCGTCCTGTCCATCAGTGGACCAGGGTTCTCAAACCTCCTGATGTTTCCAGTCTGCATTCAGAACACACAGACTATGATGTAAAGGTAAGAACCTTTAAAAACACTCCGTTTATTAAAAAAAACAAAAACGTTGGGTGTCTGCTTCCTCACCGAGGGCTGTCACCTTACAGGCAGCTTGCGCGATTGTTTTGGGGTAACTGTCTATGAATTCTGCCTATCTGTATTTTGTTTCTCTTGCCTGTTTAGATTTTCAAAAAAATCAAGGACGCCAAAGCCCCCCAGCCCCCACCAAATTCTCCTTGCTGTTGTCCACACAGAAACTGACATCCCTGTGAGACCCAGTCACCTGGGGCCTGGCACGACCTGACCTGCAAGTGGCCCAGAAAACACGGGGAGCTGGGCCGAGTGACCGCAGTCACGCCCCAGGGCCAGGCCACTCAAGGCAACACAGTGGGTGCCAGGGCTCGACCAGCAAAGTCACTTCTAGGTCACTACAAACACGGTCCCCCAGGGGAGAAGCAGAACAACATTCTTGTTCCACAGGGAGGACACCTGAGGACACCTGTTAACACGGGTGAGGGTGTCGCAGTTCCTCAACTGTGGGCAGAGTCTCCAAGGGGCCCACCTACCTCTTACAAACACCAGCTCACAGACAATCACAAATAAACAGAACAAAGCAACCCAGATCCATTAAACTGAATGACTTCCTCCACCCAACCAGGGGCCGGAATTCCTGCTGGCTGGCTCACGTTCTTTGGACCCATACACAGAATTCTGGAAAAGCTAGAATTAGTTATGAAGCTAAAATTTATAACAGTGATTGGACAGTTTTATTTTTTAACAACAGTGGAAACTATTTTAAGAAATGGAAAAAAAAAAAAAAAGAATCCCAGAATCCCAGAAGACCTTAGACATGTGCGTGGCTCTATCATGTGACCCCTGATAAATGCTATCTAAGTGTTTTCCACCTTTCGAGTACTAAACTGAAAATCTGAAATCCCTCAGAGATGTGTTCCCATTTTTAAAAAATGTTTTTATTGATTTTAGAGAGAGGAAGGGAGAGAGAGATAGAAACATCGATATGGGAGAGAAACATCACTCGTCTGCCTCCTGCACGCCCTCCCCCTGGAGATCGAGTCCGCAACCCGGGCATGTGCCCTGACCGGGAATTGAACCTGCGACCTCTTGGTACCTGGGATGATGCTTGATCCACTGAGCCACACTGGCTGGGTGAGTTGTATTCCTTAAGTTCAAGGAAATGTGTTCACGTTTTTTGTTTTTTATCCTCACCCAAGGGCATTTTTACATTTATCTTCAGATAGAGCAGGAGGGGGAGAGAGAGGAAGAGAGAGAGAAACATCGCTGTGAGAGAGACACATCGACTTCCTGCCACCCACACGACCCAAACTGGGGCCGGGGACAAACTG